GGGTTGCAGGGAATGCCAAATCCACCCAGAACCAGGGAGCAATGATGGTGATCTCCATTTGGCTTAAGCCAACCTCAACATTACACGATAGGAGAAAGTATGTCATTTAATGCTTGCTTGGAAATCTGGATATCCTCTCTCCCACTAAACATTAAAAAGAAGCATGAACACTGATTACTCTAATAGCCACCTTATTATATCATGAGTGGCAGAGCAGATAGAAAGCAGAAAAAAACAATTCTTTGTTTTTGAGACAGAGTCTCAAGCTGTCATCCTGGGTAGAGTGCTGTGGCATCACAGCTCACAGAAACCTCAAACTCGTGGGCTTAAGCGATTCTCTTGCCTCAGCCTCCCAAGTAGCTGGGACTACAGGCACCCGCCACAATGCCCAGCTAATTTTTGGTTGCATTTGTCATTGCTGCTCAGCAGGCCCAGGCCAGGTTTGAAGCCACCACCCTAGGTGTACTGTGGCCAGTGCCCTGCCAACTGAGCTACAGGTGCTGTCAAACAAAAACAATTCTTAGTGTCATCTTTGAGCCACTAAGTCAATCAAACATGAAGGGAGACCTACTCCTGACTTTCCAGCCAATAAATTTACTTACTCTGCAAAGTCTTACTTTTGAGAGTGTTAGATTCACAGCAAAATTGAGCAGAAGGTACAGAAATTTCCCATATACTCCCTGCCCCACCCCATACATAGTTCCCCTCCATCCACTGTCAACATCCCATAACAGAAAGGTATTTTTGTTACAACTGATTAACTTACAGTGGCTTATCATTATCACCCAAATTCCTAGGTTTACTTTAGGGTTCACCCTTGGTGTTGTACATTCTATAGCTTTGGACAAATGGACAATGACACGTGTCTCCCAGTATGTAATACGGTATAGTTTCACTGCCCTAAGAACTGCTTTTGCTCCAAATATTTATCCCTCTCTTTCCCCAACCCTGGCAACTGCTGATCTTTTTACTGTCTCCATAGTTTTTCCTTTTCCAGAATGTCATGTATTTGGAATATACAGTATGTAGCTTTTTCATATTGGGTTTTTTCAGTTAGTAATGTACATTTAAGGTTTCTGTCTTCCCATGGTGCATTTCTTTTTAGTTCTGAATAATATTCCATTATCTGGATGTATCAGTTTATTTATCCATTCACCTATTCAAGGACATTTTGGCTGCTTCCAAGATTTGGCAATTATAAATAAAATTGCTCTAAACAAGTGTGTGTAGGTTATGCGTGGCTGTAAGTTTTCATCTGAGGAAATACCAAGAGCCTGATTGCTGGGTAGTTTCATAGGTGAGAAACTGCCCAACTGTCTCCTAAACTGGCTATGCCAGTTTGCAATCCCAACAGCAATGAATGAGAGGTCCTGTCACTCTACATTCTCACTAGCGTTTAGTGGTGTCAGTGTTATGGATTTCTGCCATTCTATTAGGTAGGTGACTGGTTTTGTCTTATTTGTTTGAGAGAGACACTGTCACTCAGGCTAGAATACAGTGGCCAAATCATAGCTCACTGCAATCTCAAACTCCTCTTGCCTCAGCCTTGCGAGTAGCTAAGACTATAGGTGTGTGCCACCACATCTGGCTAATTTTTCTATTTTTCATAAAGACAAGGTCTTGCTCTTGCTCAGGCTGGTTTTAAACTCCTGACCTCAAGTAATCTTCTCACCTGGGTCTCCCTAAGTGCTAGGACTATAGGTATGAGCTACCGTGCCCAGTCTTAATTATTTTTTAACCACATTGTTGTTACCCTGCACTTACAGAAGCCTAACTAATATAACTTAACTGATGTGGTCAGGGAATTATTAGAAGACCAACTTGAGGCTGGGTGCAGTGGCTCATGCCTGTAATCCTAGCACTCTCGGAGGCCGTGGCGGGTAGATTGCTTGAGCTCAGGAGTTTGAGACCAGCCTGAGCAAGAGTGAGACCCTGTCTCTACTAAAAGTGAAAAACTGAAGCAAGAAGGTCACTTGAACTCAAGAGTTTGAGGTTACTGTGAGATATGAGCCCATAGCACTCCACTAAGGGCGACAAAGTGAGACTCTGTCTCAAAAAAAAACTAAATAAATAAATAAAATAAAAGAGCAACTTGAGTCAAGAGAAATAAAATTTTAACTGTTAAAAAATAAAGTCATGTAAGTATGATACTAGAAGAAAATAAAATAGAACAAATGTAATAATCCTAGGTAGAGGAAAGTCTTTCTTAACATGACACACAGCCCAGAAATCACAAAGAAAAGACCAAGAGGCTTGGCGCCTGTAGCTCAGTGGCTAGGGCACCAGCTACATACACCAAAGCTGGCGGGTTCAAACCCAGCCTGGGCCTGCCAAATAACAATGACAACTGCAACCAAAAAATGGCCAGGTGTTGTGGCAGGTGCCTGTAGTCCCATCTCCTTGGGAGGCTGAGGCAAGAGAATCGCTTAAGCCCAGGAGTTTGAGGTTGCT